TTTAAAATTTAATTTTGTTATTTGTGTTGTGCCAGTTTCCCCCTACTACCTCCGCGTACCCTTGCGAGAACTTTCGCATGTTAAACAACACACTCTTCCCTACCCTCCTATTTCTATTCTAAGAGGGAAAGTTGTTAACGAAAGGTATTTATTTATAATGTATGAATGTAACTTACATTGTACTAGCAGAATATAAAAAATAAAAAACAATGCAATTGATGTTGAATAGAAATTTTCAATAAAGATTTATTCAGTATTATCCAGAGATTTCTTCAAAAAATTTACATCACTTCCTAACAAAGTAAGTGAAATAATTAATCAATATCCTTTGACAGTTAGATTTTCGCTTTTCGTGATAAGCACAAAAATAATAAAAACACTTTTTGCTCTCGAGAAAGGTACGTAACCGAACAAGCTGAGTTAAAAATTTCTCTGAATCACTGCTGATAACGAAAATACTGGTACAGGTAAAACACAAACCAAACCTACCAAAACAGGTCTTCACAATTCACTGTACAACCACATCTCCACAATTAGGTACACAGCACTTATAGACCTGTTGGCAAAAGAAATGCATGTTTTCACTACACTCATAAAAAACAATCTTCATCGGAATAGTATTAAAGTACTAATTAAGTATTATAGTATAATATTAACAGTACTTCTAGTTGTTGCTGCGAGAGCGAATCTTGTATTAAGAATTGTGCAAATGAACATTGTCCGTCTGCATAAACCACAGGTATGCACAGAAATCGTAAATACAATAAGATGTAGGAATCTAAGCGTGATGTCACAAAGATTGTCCCTGTCACCAAGGGTTGAAATATAGGTAACATAGTAGTATCATTATGTGCCGAATCAACAACAACAATTGAATGTCCAAGAATATCTCATCCTATAGATGCTTGGGTCCTTTGGTCTCCAAATTTTCTTTTTTAACGCCCTAGAACCCTTCTTTTATGAGTTATTTAACGATATATCTGATTGAGTACTTTTAACATGAATATTTGGATGCGTTTTTTAAACAAGTTCTAAAGTGAAAGCGCAATTTGTCACGTCTCCGTGAAATTCTCTTTCTTTAGAGACCTCATTCATAAAGATGATTGCGTGTGAGTGCCGCAAAAGGTATGTATGCTACTGAAATAATGTAGGAGACGATCATTCCCGTGAAACTAAATTCTCTTATTGTTTTATGAAACAGCTCGAGGGACGGGGCCGGTTGATTTAGCTCAGAGCCAGCCTTACAGTCTTTCTGCACCGACCGAAATCCTCGGGTTCGAGTCTCGACGTTGCTCCAACGACGCAACGTAGCTAGTGGTTCGACGGTAGGTAGATAGCTGCAACGAATTCATCCGCAGTCTGAAGGAGAATTCTAGAGGCTAGCTGCTCTGATCGGCAGTTTTCCGTGGTTTCTCCCATTAATTCCAGACAAATGTCGGAGCGGTGCCGTAGTAATCGGGCCACGGAGTGCGTAAGATCTTAATTTCGTATTCTTTGCTCTATCCTCTTCCGTTACCCACAGACACGCACACATAAGTGCAATACACAAGTTGCCCCGAATAGGGCGGTGCTTCTATGGGGAAATACATTGAAGAGGAAATCCTTGAAAGACGACGTGTGAGAGGTCGGCGCCAGATCTCACCATCAAACGGGGTAGGGATACTGCCACCTCCCGGGATAAACCTTCACTACACTAACGGGACTAATGACCATAGCAGTTGGCGTGCCCGCTAACCTCAATCAATGGGCGGATAGTAGCCGACAGGCTACTGTGTGAACGCAGCGAGATGGGTCCGTCGGTTAGCGACGCACGATAGCGGAGGTGAAGGGCCAGTTAGGCTCGCAAACACGAGCGTTGCTTTGATTCGCGCGTCATCTAACGCCGATGACGTTAGCTGCGTCGATGCCAGCGCACACGAGTAGCCACTTAACACGCGTCGTAGATGAACAGTGTCTTACGCGACAAGGCATATGAGCGCTCTTGGCGACGTGCGTTATTGCCAGCACGCGTCGCATTGTGGGCGTCGCGCGTTGAAAGCCAGATAACGCGCGTTATCTTGGCTACCGATGTTGCTTGAACTGTGGGCAAAACAAACGCCGTCAAAAGCGCTCGTGTGCCGTTTCGCATAAGATACAGTGTTAATCTATTTCGCGGGTTCAGTGTCTCGTGTATGCAGGCATTGTCGCATCTGTCGAGCGTTAGCTCACGCGCGTCAACGCAACGCTCATGGCAGTGGTCCTTAGCGTGAGAATGCTTTTGTTGTAATTAGAGGATTTGAATGGTGCTTAAAAAATGTGATATACACGATGAAGGAATAGAAATAGACGCATTGTGCACCTCACGACTTTAATAATAAAACATTAAGTTTTGGGCTCAAATAAATGTTACAAACTTCTAGGGCAGTGGAGTCGAAAATGATCACATTTTGTCAAATAAAATATAGTGGTAAATTGGGTGCATGTAATGAAATTGAATCAATGTTCTTCCACAAAGATGTTCCACAGACCATGTTCTGACGGAAGTTTGAATTTCATCTACCTGCCAAACACTTATGTACATAGGTTAACTAAAGGTCTGGGGCTTGTATAAATGCATACGATTATTAGGTTATATACAATTTCTCTCTATACGTTCATTGGAAAAAAGTTAATATTTTCGTTCCCTTTACATATCCTATAAAGTTGTAAAATTTATTCTGACACTTCTGTATATTGGAATGTGAATCTACTGGATTCATTTATGTGCATTTTAATATATCTGAAACGAATTTACTTCGGACTTAATTGTCAATCCTATGAGGTGAAGGCAATTCGGTAAATAGTATTCGAAAATGTATTGTGAAAACGGAAGTGTACATATGATACTAAAATATGGAACTTGTAACAATATTGCAATCAAAATTATTACTTTTCCGTATACGTACGTATATACGAAGTAATATACTTGGTATAAGGAAAGTTATGTAATGATACGAAAAATCGATTTCGAGATTTCTACGGAAATACACATTTTGGAGTCCCCTGATACCGAAAAAGTAGTTCTTTTCAACACGCCCGTCTGTGAGTACTACTGGCGCCTAAACCATGCCTAGGATGTTTTCTAAATTGAAGAAATCAAGTCCATGTGACTAGAGTAGAAGCTTTGACATTTTGAAAAACATTCTTTAAAATTTGGGGGGTACTTTACATGAAGCCCTCCAGTCATTTTCAGTTTCTCAAAAACGGTTCCAAATATTTTCTTTAAATTTGTTGTAAGAATAGAGTAAAAGACACATAAAGGTGCCATAGATTCCATTTTCACTTTTACTTCCAAATTTTCGAAAATTTCAAAAATTTGATGTTTTTTGGGCGTGATATTACAATTACAAAATTGAAGATACAGATTTTTCCTTCAAATGAATTTTGTTGTCCATAATTCGTTCTTCCATTAAGGTCAGGTACAGTTTTTGGAAATTTTAATAGTTTTCACGCAATATTGCTAGTGATATGTGCAATTGAAAAAAAATACTAAAACAAAATTTTCTGAAAACTGCTCCAAATTGTTTGTTTAAACTGTTGGTAGGTTAGTGCTAAATGCACTCTATAAGATAACATAAACGCCGTATTGCTTGATTCTTTTGTTTTTTCAAAAAATCAAAAATGTAATTTTTTGGCGTAACTCTGACGACGTTAATATATTTATATTAGAATTAATGTTTAAATTAATGTATTTATGAGTACATGTACTGTAAATAATGTCTGAAAAAGTTTCTCGAAAACCCAACGGTTAACATGAGCTCAAAAGTCCGCATTTTCAGAAACACTCAAACGCTATTTTAAAACGTCTCCAAATTTTGCCTTCAAACCTTTCGGATAGTGCTAATTACACTGTTTAAAATGACATAGAATAAATTTTGCTGTATTGTTTTGTTGTTTTTTTCACAAAATTACGTAAATCTATTTTTTGAAAGATTTCTTATGCCTTTAATATGCACAGTTCCAGTGATTTGTTAACACTGTTGTATTAGTGACTGGAAGTGCTTGCAATGACTTCATATGAAATTTTTCGAAAACTGAGTAGTTTTCTGTGAAAATAGGTTAAAATGTCGCATTTACAAAAGCACTTGAACGGCGTTTTCTTTAAAATTGCTCCAAATTTTTCAAAAAAATTTCCATGTAGGGTGAGGTTTTAGTGGGCTTTATAGTATTCTTAAAATAATATTTTCGTTGTACTATTAGGAAACCGAAAAAATTTAGAATATTGTTTCTAAAAATGTAATTTGGGCGGCGAAAGATGGCAGCTGGCAAGAATATATGGCAAGTTCGTATAGCTAGCCGAGACCAAAGGAAATAGAAAAATAATAAAGAAAGTCTGGGAAAGTCTGTGCCATTGTGTAGCACCGCAAGTTTCTATGACTCGGAACTTTAAACCACCACATTAACTAATGTGCATCTCACAACTTTATTTCACCAGATTAAGTTTTACCGTATATTTCTGCAGATAAAACGAGGTATACATTTTTGTCAGGGTTTTATAGTGTAAGACTACCTCCGAACTATCAATGGCCTATGAATATAGGTAAGATCAGCAACCAGCATTACTTGCATCTGGCAATGCTACAGAACATCTGGCAGCACTGTTTTTTGGCAAACATTCGCACTGATTAGGGGATTCGTAAATATGTGGATGGCACTAACGACGATATGTTATAAAATACTGATAACGAAGGGAAAATGGACTCCCTTTGTACAGAACGGGACCTATTCGACGTTCTTCTTAAGAACGAAAGTGATGTATTTCAAGAACTAATTGCATCAGGTGATTGTGCGAATTTTTAATTATTTTTCATTTGTATCTAAGACAACTCCGTATTTTGGGGGTCTTTTTTTATATTAATTTATTTTGATTCATGCATCGTCTTATCTGCCGAAATATACGGTATGTATATCGAAACTTTAATATGCTGTATGAATTTAGAAACGCTTGGAAATTTTAACCTGCGTGCCTCGCCCTCTTTCAGTTTACCACGTGGGCAGCATGCTGGGCTGGTCTGAGGAGTTTTCCTTCCGAACTCCGCCGGAAGATCAGACCACGTGGTATCCGCGGTTGGCCATCTACGGAGACATGGGCAACGAGAATGCAAAATCTCTTCCGAGGTTGCAGCAGGAAGTTCAACGCGGCAAATACGACGCCATCCTACACGTTGGAGACTTTGCCTACGACATGTACATGGTACGTAAAACAATTCGCTTCACTTTGCATATCGGCAAAGGTGGTTGAGGGCTTCAGCTGATGTCACTGCAGTGCCCCTGTCCTGGAGACCTAAGGGTTCCAATCCCGACAGTGTCAGGATTTTCGGAACTAGCTGCCTAGCTGGGCCGAATTCAGCCGCTGTCTGGAGTTGCCCTGATCAGTAGTTTTGCGTGGTTCCTTCGATCAATACCAGGCGAAGGCCGAAGCAGTATCCTTACAAGTGGGCAACGGACCGCGCGCGATCTTTCCTTCCTCGTCATATCTCGTTCTATGCTCATCCCTTACATACAAACACACACACACACACAGTCACAAGCGCTACACTACCACAGATGTCGGAAGACCAGCCTGGAGCTTGGCGCTTGGGGCAGTGCCACGCTGGTTGGGGAAATCCCCGCAAGTCGACGAATGTCAGCGTCGGATCCCACCATCCAGCGGGGCAAGATCACCACCAACGGCTGTTATAAAGCATGCACTACACTTATGGGACTAATGACCTTAACAGTTGACACGCCCGAAATCACTAATCAATCGATCAATTCGTTTATAATCGTCTGACTGCCTGCGATGGCTCGGCAGGCAACACCGCTACCTCTGCACGTCTTTGACCTGGAGGTCTAGGGTTCGGGTCCTTGCGTTGACGGATTTGCGGCACAAGCTGGATAGCTTAGTCGAATTTAATCAGAGAATAATTCGAGCGGCCGCTGCTCGTCTGTAGTTTTCTGTGAATTCTCCGAGTAATACTAGAGGAATGTGTACGAACCGTGCGGGGTGTTTCCTTCCACTTCCTTGTCCCCTACACCACACTGGCACCCAGGTAGGCGGGAGACCAACAAAGAGCTTAGAGCTTGTTCCGGCTGGGGCAACTGAGCCCCCCACACACACACACACACACCTCCGCAAGCCGACGTGAAGGTCGTCGTTCGATATTACGTTCTCGCTGGGAAACAGACATAACGTCTTGGATATAACATGTACTACACTTACGAGACAATCTACCTCTCTCTCTCTCTCTCTCTCTCTCTTTTTGTTTACTCGCTCGGAGCAATCTTTATTAGGTTGCCATTGCGGCGGGCAAGCCAATGTGGGGGAAGATAGCTTCAATGGCGTTTTGTGGCATACGCCGCGTTGCTGCGGCGAGACAAGTGAATGCAGCGAATGGGGCTTGTGAGGCCGAACGCGCCATCGGCCTGAAAACTTGTGCGAGGGGTGTACGGAAGTATTGATTAGTTCTTTTGATATATGGGCAAGTCAACTCCCGCGCAAACTTCGACGCGGTCCCGTACGCATAGTGCATGTTTTATCGTGGGCGTTGGCGCCAATCTTCCTCCGCTAAACTCTGAGATCCGGCCCCAACTTGCAGGTCGGCTGTTTCCCCCACATGGGTATCTCCCAGTTCCGCGGTAAACACCCCACCTGTACTCGAAGCTCCCGACATGTGGTAGTGTAGTGCATGTTAGTATTAGTGTAAGTAAGAGGCGAGGATAGGACAAGGAAAGAAAGATCGCGCGCTGCCCGTGACCCGTTTGTACTGCTCCGGCATTCACCTAGAGAAATCATGGAAAACTACTGATCAAAGCAGCCGGCCGCGAGAATTCTCCTCCAGAGAGCGTCTGAATGGACCTAACTGACAGGCTGATTTCGAAATTCCTGCCACCGACGGGATTCGAACCTTGGGATCTCTTTGCGGTCAGAGACCCTTTGCGGTGACACGTGTTGATGCCCTGAGCCGATGGGTCTCGCGGTCGGGAGCGGGGGTCTCCGAATTACGGCCAGCAATCCCCGACCTGCGCTCGAGGAGGTCTCGTCTCGTAACTACACCAAGAAACGAGCTGCGAAAAATGGGCGACGAGAAATGCGGGAAGTCGAAACAAGGGAAATGTATCTTGGTGGTAGAAATGTAGTTTGTGATACGATTCGTTCACGCGTGCTGTCGATTACGAGAATGAGTCACTCGCGGCGCTGCAATACTTTCCCGCGGAAAGTGACGCTTCGCTACGCAATTCCTAATTGAGGACGAGGCCCACGCGTTCGGCTCTCGTGTTACCATAAAACATCCACGAGTTTGTCCAACGCATAATTACCAACGCATTTTATGCGAAAACATCTAAAAAATAATTTGGCGCGTATATTTCTTCGAGTAGGTTTTCCAGGGAAATCTCCATTTTCTTGCCTCCTGTTTACCTCGCTTGTTTTCTTCCCTCCATGTATAGTCGAGCCTGAACGAATCGTATCACAAACTGCATTTCAGCCCTTTCACCCCCTCCCTACACACTTGATATTCTCGCCTCTCTGGAGGTGAAACATTTTCTCGTTCGGTTCTGTCGGAAGTGAATGTTCTCAGACCCGTTTCAACAACTCGTTCATTTATTTTGTGAAATTTTTTCATGTTTTGAAGAGCGCGTATATAAAATTTTATTAAGATCGGAATAAAATTGTAGATGTGTGTGAAAAAACTATCTAACATTCCTCTTTATGTAAGAGATTATAATGTTTAAAAACAATAGCGTAAGTTACGCCCGACCGAGCGATGCTCGATGCATAGGGGTGCAGACTTTCCAGAGATTACCCGAAAAAACAGACAAAAACAGTAAAATCAATTTGGTTTTTTTATCATTGATTTCAGAAAATGGGATTATAAAAAACTTTTTTTTAATCACACTCAATTTTCATTTATAAACATTTATGAATTTATTATTTGTGAAAGTTAGTATTACTTCATAATCCAAAGAAATATCAAAGAGAGGGGATAGAGATTCACTGACAAGTAACTTTTCATTATGGACAAAAAACCTTCTAATGCAGCTGTATTGGTCATAAACACTGAACCATTTTTTTAAGAAGTGGTGTTTCGTATCTTTTATAGAATTATTGTCTCTATTGTGTCTAAGAAAAAGTAAAATTCTATTATTTTTTTTCTTTTTTGCTTACATTGTTGACTTATATTGTTCTGTTTCGTTTTCGAATAAAACGTATTGTGACAAAAAATGTATTGTCATTCATTACATGTTTCTTTATTTGATATACATTTTGGCACTCATGACCTGCAAATCAATGAGTGGAATGTTACACTTCAAGGAAAACACTAATTGCAAGAAATTGTTAATTTAACAATTTATTTCCATAATTAATTTGACAAGCACTGCTAAGCCTTTAAATTCTACACAAAAGGCCTCCATTTCTTCTTCGAGGGAGATATGCTCGATTAACTTTAAGATGTCATCAACGGATCTTTTTTTCGTGATGAAAACGATCATTTTTTATGAAATGGTGGAAGTTCATAAATTTGCTGATATAGAACGTTTGAAAATTGGGTTCTCTTTCCTAAATCTCGGTAGATGTGATGTTCTTTTTTTTTTATATCAGTGCGGCCATCAACGTTTAGAATCAATTATATCAGATCGGTTAGGGATAATGGCTTGAGGTCACTATCAAATCCGCTTACTCCTTAAAAGTGTAAATGCAATAAATGACTTAATTTCCCATTTAGACCAAAATCTTGATCGCACGAGAGGAAGAAATTCTTTAATGGGAAACAAGGGCTGTCACGACCTCAATAGTGTTTTTTGACCTCCATCTGAAAAGATTTGAAGGTTTTCGACGTTGGACATTTATGTATCTAAATATTTCATAATAAAAGTTGTAACCTTACGAAGTTCTGTAGACTCCGTTCCTTTACGATACTCTAAGAATGTGGCAGAGACATCTTTAAATTACGGACACTAAAAACATTTACTATCAGATAACTGCTGTCTCTTGTACTGGTATTGTAGGAAAGTTCAGATTTTGCGTTAAGTCTATGCACACTGTAAGTACACGGTGCTGTAAACTTAAAATCAATCAGCAGAGTGAACTTCAAAGACAAACAACTTCTGGTGCTTCAGTGCAGAAAGAACGCATGCCCCTGACTTAGGTTGTATCTGCATTAATTCCTACGTACGTGGTCTTAAAAAGTAACCTCTCGAATTGCTTGACTTATGTTATATCTGTATGACGTTGCATATACAAGCAGAAAATGTGATTCCAGTAAAAAGTCAAAATGTCCAAAACCCAGTCATAGTATGTTGTTTCTGAAATAAACCTTTCAAACAAATAAACGTAGCCTTGCTGGTTTCATTACACAGTTCTTATCTCTCATTTCTCGCAACGCATCCCCCAGTGAAGTCCGTTGCGGGCCTTACGGTTCCAGATCAGGGCTTTCAAAAACCTCTCTTAAGCTGGCACTACCTCAATCGGTTACCACAAACCCAAATATGCCTCCGTTTAGAACTATTTAATTGCTAATTAATTTCGCCCGCCGGCGCGCCAGGCAGATCACCGTTAATTACTCGGAAGTTTGAAAAGTAATTAAATTATTTTGCACGTAATTAATTGGGAATTAAATCGTTTTACAAGATGGCATATGTGTTTTTGTGTGTCAGCTTAATCTTAAGCTAGCTCACCTTTAATTACGCCAACGTTTGAAGAGAAAAAATAATTTTGCGTAATTAATTTGTAATTAAAGAGTTCTAAAAGATGACTTGATAAGTCTTCCAAAAGCGGACTGTAAAAGAATCCAGGAGCGGCTATGCTGAAGGTCGAGGGTGGGGGCGTTGAGAGAACCGAGACGTGCCACTAGTAAACTCGCGGTTAGTCACGTGGGTGAAGGGAATTACGCAACATACGTGATGATTGCCTCCTTTCCCGTGCCTCAAAGATTTTGTGATAAACTGCATTCTGTCACGTCTCGAGAATCTTTCGTACGTGAATCTGCTCACTCCTTAGCAAGCAACGGGAAAGGTGGCTCAGCAGATACCGTTGCAGTGCCTCGGATCGGGCAGTCCTGGGGTTCGAGTCCGGACGGCGGCAGCACTTTCGACTCTAGCTAAACAGCTAGGTCGAATTCAGGCGCTGCCCGGAGGAGAGATCTAGCGACCAGCTGCTCTGATCGGTTGTTTTCCGTGGTTACT